ACCCATGAAATAGGAGGTCATGTTCCATTCCCTGATAGGGGACATGTCCAGGTTGCAGGTATGAAGCTCAGTAAGGGGCATGCAGGAGGTAGCTGATTGGTGTTCTCTCTCATTTATGTTTCTATCACTCTCCCTTCCTTTCTCTGAAAAAGATTTATATACAAGTCATTTGTCCCTGTTTAAGATTAGCATCCTTGCTAACTATTTGAATTTGGGGGTTTTTTTTTCTTTGGGAGGGTTATTAAGTAGCAACTACATGGATAATAGTTTAGCTTCAAGATTTCAACCTACAAATTTTTCTTCATTTCCTTTTTACCTATTACTGTCTCCTATGTGTGGGGAAAGCATGTGTCTTAACATGAAATTATACAATTAAGGGTTCACAAGACTAAACACATATTGATCGTCTAACACTTTATGACTAAATATTTCCAATAAAGTATAAGGTGATAATGAAACGGGAAAAGCAATCCTTTAAGAAACTTAGTATTTAATATTTTTACATATATATATATATATATATATATATAGTACCAATTTTCCAAAGAGCTCAAAATCAAAGCCTGCAAAGTAGGCAGGAAGCAAACAAATCCTGCAGAGGCCACATCTGACAGTTAAAATTTGACAACAAATTATGTAGCTTACCTTCTTTTTGGAGTTGGAGATCTGGACTTTGATCGGCTGTCAAAACATGAGAAATTCTATTAAGAGAAAGTACTAACCAATCCCTTTCTTACAGTCACAATACCATGAAATGAACCCCCAAAATGTCCTAAAATTAAAACATGAGGCTGCAATTAAACTGGAAGGAAAAAAAAGAAAAAAAAAGAAAAAAAAAAGCCCATCAGATTTTGCTAGCAAAAGCTCATCTTCCAACTAATCTTCATAAAATGAACTGCTTTTATGATTCATCTGCCTATCTCAGGATGCTCACCTATCTCAGAATGCTTCTCCATGCACCTATTAGTTCTAACAAGGGCGTATTAACAGCAAAATTACAAACTGCTTTCTCACTATATCTTGCCATTCCCTTGTCCAGGAAATCATCCAGAAAAGGCATGTACAAATGAAGTTCTAAAATTTAGTTCATTAACAAGGTATTAGGTTCCCACTCAACATCTAGGTTTAGGGCTAACACTTGAAGCCTGAACAATTCAAAACACTTTGAACTCTTTGGATATTGGTGCCATATAACCACAAGAGCATTATTCAACTTTTCACCCTTACCTGCTTCTTGGTCGTGAAATAGATCTGGATCTGGATCTGGATCTTGACCGTGATCTTAAAAACAAAAATTACACCAATTAGCCCACACTAGTAATTTCCTTAAACACCTTCTGAGCACATTAGGCACACTTGGAACAAAGACTAAATTGAGCAAGATGCCACTCTTGCCTTTTATCAGTCTAAGATTGAACAAATTGTCACATTTTCAACAAGGTCTAATATCAAATAAATAACTATTTTAATTATTTGCTTCTACCATACCCAATGAGCTAGACTGTCAGTTAAGTATCCAAGAGACAAGTAGATGGTTTTCATTTAAGATTGATATGAGATCCAACAATCAAATTAAATTCATTTGTCTAGAGAGGGGGTCCAGAGCTTTTGCAAATGGACCACAAGTTTTAGAATCTCTGCATTTAAAGATTTATAAAACAGTATCTCCCAATGGCATTACCTACCTAGGAGACTCATCATCATCTGTAATACTGTCAACTCCTTATTTTATAGACATTATTCATTTCTATCACCTTTACAGGTCTTTTTCAAAGGAAGTAAAAAGAGGTGAAGTTCCTAGTTTGATTTCTACCCTCTTAATTTCAGTGTCTGGCTAAACAAGCCATGCTCACCCATATGTAAACTACTATTTCCCCTAAACTTTCTAAGGTCTTAAATTCACCCCCATCATGCCAAATTATGTCCTTAAGACACTCTACTTTTGTCATTAAGACGTGACAACCCAAATAAAAATAAGCGGGGGTAAAAATGGTACATACTGGAAATACCTCGATCCTTTTATAGAACCAGATCTAGATCGTCTGAGTGAAGCGGATCGTGATCTGCGAAGAGATACAGATCTTGATCTTCGAGGAGATGCTGATCTCGATCTAAAAATTAAATCAAAGAGGTTTAGGTCCATCTCCGATTAAAGTCTTTTATTGCTTGCTAAAACTTGCATTAAAGATCTCTTACCTCCTCCCCCTGCTCCTGCTCCTTGAGCGAGAATATCGTCTACCTCTGGATCTCGAATGTGATCTAGACCGTGACCTATTTTTCAAGTTGGGAAAAATAACAAAATGTTAGATGGCAACTCGTATTTGTAGTTTGTGTCCCTCTGCTGAAATCAAGTCTCAAACTATTTAAATTTACTATCTCATTTGGAAATAAATTCTGGGCCTATTAGTTGTCCAGTTTTTTTTTTTTTAAACTACCTAAAAAAAGATTTGTTAAAAGCTGAATTACATCTTAGAATTACATAATATAAAGCACTGTAATGTGTATTTAAAATAAACCTTGCAAGTTTGCAGGTCGACCCTCTTTGGCCCATGGTCTAGTAGATCTAGACGATCTAGAAGTATCTATAGCCGATCGCTGCATCTAGATGTTTTCTTCAATCTAACGACGATCAAACTGACAGCCAAATGAGCCAGGTGAGGCTTGATTGACGCAAGAAGATTTTTCTAGTTGGAAATGTGGTCAATCTGTTGTTCCTCTTTCTAAACCGGAGGGGGCCCCAATTGTAAGCCAAATTTACTGTTACGGCGATCACCGACTCAAATTTTCTGCCCTTTAAAGAATAAGGTGAAGCTAGGTGTAGATGACTCGAGGGGATCTGGCCTCTTATGCTGATCACCTCAAGGTCTAGGAGGATCTTAATTGTCGGATTTGCAAGGCGCCTCAGCATATCATAAGGCTCGTGACATTCTGAATCAAGGCGACTGACTCAAACGAAGAAACCTGAAAGGTTTTGACCAGGTTGATTATTAATATATTAACATTTGTTTAATTAAACAAAAAAATTGTAAAAATACACCTGTACAATTAACATACAAATTTATATAAAAATATTAGTTTCTGCCTTGCTAATAAAAGAATTACTTGATTAACCAGTACACCAACCATTTCTTTAAAATAAATACCTGCTTCTCCGTCGTCGGCTATAGCGATGACAATCATAAGCATAATGTCCCTTTTCACCACACTCATAGCATCTATCATTTGGATCAAAGGGACGTCGGGCAGGTGGCCTATCCAAACGAGATCTCCGAGGCATGCCTGTGGATAGTTCAACCCTCACTCGGGAACCACAAATCACCCTGTAAAACAGAAGCAACAAAATTCTAATGCTAAAAACACACACATACGACCTCTGGATTTAGAACTTTCCATCCCTCTGCTTTCACAGGCTTCCGCTATCTTTGTAGCCCTTTGCAGGCCACCTCTACTCCCTTCCTTAAGCAGATCAAATGTGCAAGTTCCTCTAGACCACACAACCCCAGCCCAGCGCCTACCTCATCCCCCAGCCCAGCATACTATCCAGCAGGTTTCCTGACTGGCATCTCACTTACTTGCCATCCAGGCCTCGAACTGCATCTTCTGCATCTCTAGGATCTTCAAATTCCACAAAGGCAAATCCCGGAGGATTTCTCGCGATCCACACCGTCCTTAAGGGGCCATAATAACTGAAAGCCCTTTCTAGCTCGCCTTTGCCAGCACCAGTTCCCAGGTTACCGACATACACCTTGGTTTCTGTTTTAAAAGAAGGCAGACAGAAGAACAACGCACGTTATGCAAACATTTGACCCGAGAGTTTGAATGGATTCTTTCGCGCCCCCTTAAGATTCTGTGCACAGCGGCGCATTTTGTGCTGAACCGAACGGGGCTTCAAAACCGGCCGAGTCGGTGAATGCCCGCGGAGATCAGGCGTGTGACAAGGCTCCTAACGTTCTAACATGGTGGGAAAACACGGGAGCAGACGAGCGTGGCAGGGTATTCCGAGCGCCAGGCGGTCCCGCCCGGGCCCGCCCCCGGGGTCCCGGCGGCCTCGGGGCCCGGAGCGCGCGGACCCGGGCGGCGGGCGGGCCCCGGGAGGGCCGGACCGGGGAGCAGGGCCGCACCGGCTCCGTCCTCCGCGGTAACCGCCCCGGGCGCGGGCTCGCCCGAGACGCCAGCTCCCTGCCCCGCCCGAGAGAGCGACGAGAGAAAAGAAACCGGCCGGCCGGCCGCCCGGCGGCTAAGCGGAGTCCCCGTCCCCGTCCGCAGCCCGGCCGGCCGGCCGCGGCACGAGGCAGCGCGGCTCCGAGCCGCCGGGCGTGTCCGGGCTCCGACCGCCCGCGGGGACCCCGATGGCCGCGGCCAGAGGCTCCCCGCTATAAAGTGGCGGGAAAGCGGCGGGGAAATGCGCCACCGTGCACGCTCGTGATTGTGCGCAAAATGGCAGCCGAGGGCGGGGGGAGGGCGGGGGGCAGAGACGGCCGGCGGCTCGAAGGGCAGCAGCGAAGCGGCGGCCGTGCGCCTGGCTGAGGGGCCGGGGCGCGAGGCGGGAAGGGCCCCAAGAACGGACCTAGAACTTGACCCAGACCAGACCGACACCCGCCCTCCCCTCATCATCCCGCCCCCGCTGCTCCGGCTCCGTACGGCGTGCGCCGAGGCCGCCATTACGCACGCGGAATAACCGTCTCCCAACCGCCGCGCCAGCCCCGTGGCCTCGCCGGTCCTCGCAGCCCCCGCGATCCCGTCCCCTCGCCGGGCCCCTAGCCCCGCTTACCTCCTCCGTACCGCCCGTAGCGCGACATGACTGGCCCGCGAGCGAGGCTCGTTCAGCTCGCAGAGCCCAGGACACGAGTGACACACACACACACACACAAAAAGGAGCTGCAGAGCCCTGTCCGCGCCAACGGTCCCAGCGGCACTACGAGGAAGCGCCTGGGTTCCGGCTTATATACGCGGCGGCCGGGCTGCTCTGCGCATGCGTCGTCTCCGCGTTCCGCGCGGCACAAAGGAGCTGGGCGGAAACTACGCCGGAGCGGCGGCGCGCGAAGAGGGCGGGGACTGAGGAGCGTCAGGGGCCAATCACAAGCGGAGGGATGCGTTTCCATGGGAACGCCAGAATCTCGCCAGTAAAACCCTCGGCCTTTCCCAAGCGGTGTCCCCGCCCCATCCTTCCCCCCCCTTTTCCTGTACCTTCCTCATTTCCCTCCCCGCCCCCTTTCCCCTCTCCTTTTCCCCTTCGATTCCCGCCCACTCCGGGGACCCTCGGCGCTGGCGATGTTATTGCAGGTGCATTAGGCCGGCCTGCGAAAGGCCGGTGTTGCAGCCGCCGCCGCCGCCGCCGCCGTTCTGCTGCGGGGACCTGGCCTAGGCTAATGTTCAGTGATCTTGGGGGCTCGTCAGAGGTAACTGGGAGTTCGGCCACGGTGAGAATTCCAGGAACCCGCTATTCTGAGTAGCGGTCTCTACACTGTAGGCCTCAAAAGGGATGAAGCCCCTGGGCATCCCGCCCTGCTTACCCACCCTAAAAATCTCTTAATCCCTTAAGAACCAACTACCCATGTTCACCAACACGCTCTGACTTCTTGGGGTCTGGGGACAAAGGAATAGTTATCTCGTGTGTGTGTGTGTGTGTGTGTGTGTGTGTGTGTGTGTGCGCGCGCGCGCGCGCGCGCGTGTGTGTTTTATAATGAAATTGTGACAAAACACTAAATCCTTTTTTTTTTTTTTTTTTTTTTTTAGAAAACATTTTTATTAATTTCAGGGAGGGAGAGAGATAGAAACACAAATGATGAGAATCATTGATTGGTTGCTTCCTGCACGCCCCCTACTGGGGATGGAGCCCTCAACCCCCGCTGGCGCTCTGATGGGAATCCTACCGTGACCCTTGGTCAACACTCAACCACTGAACCACACGGGTAGGGGCAAAACCCTAACTCTTAAAGCCACCAGTTACGTTCAGGCTAGTGGTTTGTGGCAATTCTGACATTATTTGCATTTGTTTGCATTTGAAACACAATTGATTTGTGCTTCCCCTCTAGGTGTGTGTGTGTGTGTGTGTGTGTGTGTGTTGGGTAACACATCCACTAAAGACTCAGTTCCTAAGGATTTTTAGAAAAAAATGTTTTTATTGATTTCAGAGAGAGGAAGGGAGAGATAGAAACATCAATGAGAGAAACATCCACAGGCTGCCTCCTGCAAGCCCCTATTGGGGATTGTTCCTGCAACCCGGGCATGGGAATCGAACTGGTGACCTCCTGGTGTATGGGAGGATGCTTAACCAACTGCGCCACACCCAGGGCAAGTCTTTCAGTAGCAGCCTCTTGCTGCTTAAGCCACAGCAAAGAAATGGAAACCTTTTCATTTCGTTAGAATCGCTTAAAATCCAGTTTTGATTTTACACATTGCATTTACCAGACACCAACTCTACAAATACAGATTTAACTTTTTTTTTTTTTTACCATCCACCAAAAAAAGACATTGCACCATAAATAATTGGGATACACAAGTTGGAAATGTTCCACATAAAAGAGCAATTCCTTAAGTATTTGTACTTGTTTTTTAATCTGCTTTATCTTCACTTGGTGTATATAGATGTTGGATACAGAGTATAGGAGAGAGGCTTAATTGAATAAGCCTTTATTCAGGTGAATAAAATATGGATTCTCTCCTGGTAATGGCATGAATTTATACATATTTTTTTTCAGATTTATCAAATTACGGAAAAAATTAATCTGTCTCAAGAATTCTAGCAAGAAAATAGAAATTCTGGTACCAGACACAGCAAACCTGTTACTTCCTCTTGCCACTTAGCCAATGAGCAGAGACAAGGTTGAGTTTTTCATGAGTGTTTATTTGAACTGCCAGCTATAGGAGAGAGCAGTGCGCTTGGTACCTGAAAAACTGCTCTAACATCTCCTGCCAGTTGGCTGCTTACATAGGGGTGAGAAAGCAAAGCTAAGCACAGTGGGGAGGGGATAGCAGGATAAGGGCTGTGGGGCATGTGATCAGTGTGTCTGCTTCCAGTATCTCAAGAGTCCAATAACAAGGTAGTTAATCTTTTTACGACGTCAAACCAGCTTAGCCCTAGCTGGTTTAGCTCAATGGATAGGGCATCGGCCTGCAGACTGAAGGGTCCCAGGTTCTATTCTGTCAAGGGCACATGCCCTGGGTTATGGGTTCGACCCCCCAGTAGGGGGCATGCAGGAGGCAGCAGATCAATGATTCTCTTATCATTGATGTTTCTATCTCTCCCTCTTTGAGATAAATAAAAAGGAGATAAATAAAAACATTAAAAAAAAAAAAAAAAAAAAGAACAAAAACAAAAAACAGCTTAGCCATTTCCCGGAATCGGAGAATAGCCAGCATTCCTGAGGCAAACTCCCAGAGGCGATCTAGCATCCTGACCCGGCAACCAGTCAGGGTCTACTGTCTCTGACCAACACAGGACAGACTTGATTAATAATGTCTATGAATATTACAGGTACCCCACCATTCCCTCTGAGCCCCTATCAGTTCTATGCAGTATGTTATATTTGTTCTCTATTAACCTTGTTATTCTTTGTTGTCATCTACTTATCAGGGTTTGTCTTAAAAGAATTAAATGATAAAAATATTTTTACATCCTCCCTGAAAGATATAGTATCAGTTTTATAAAGCCTAATTCAACTTCCTCCTATTAAGAATTTATGAAAATTGCTGTTGGACAAAACATAAATAACTTATGGGAAGAGAGTACTTACTAGTCACTGGCCATACCCCTCTGAAAGTCTGAGATCTGGTTTGACCTCAGGAGTTAAGAAGGGATAGGTCTGGTTAGTACTTGGATGGAAAAGATAATTATGTTATATAGCTCCTAACAGGCCTCAATAAATATTTTTGGCTCTGAATAAAAAGTCTACTGTATAAAAGATAATTTCTAGGCAAATAATAATGCTAACAACATGAAAAGAAGCAATTTTCTAACTTACAGCAAACTGCTTTCAAGCACAAAAGAAGAAAAAGGGGTAAACCCTGGCTGACTTGCCTGCTGTCTTGGAGACAGGCACTTTGATAAGCCAATTACATATTATTTACCTCTATTACAAGAGGGCCAGCTCTAGTCTGGGCTTTGCTAACATAGGTGCCATGAAAAACACATTAGTACTGGCCGGGATGGCTCGGTTGATTGAAAGTCATCCTATGCACCGAAGGTTCGCTGGTTGGAATCCAGGTCAGGGTACATGCCCAGGTTGTAAGCTCCATGCCTGGGGTGTGTATGGGAGGCAGCTGATCTCTCACATTGAGATCTCTCTCTCTCTCTCTCTCTCTCTCTCTCTCTCTCTCTCTCTCTCTCTCTCTCTTCCCCCCCTCCCCTCTTTTCCCTCCCTCCCTTTCTCTCCTTAAAATCAATTGCATTTAAAAAAATAAATAATACTGTACACTACTTCTGTACATTTTTATACTAAACACTCTTGTTCTACGAACATGCAAACCAACTCTTTTCACTAAATGTTAATCTAAATCAGGGAGGTTTTATGGTAAAGAGTACTTCTATTCCTGCTGGTTCTTTTTAAATCAGTTTCACCTACATTTTTGCCTCTAGGATTCTGTGTTAATTAAAACCACATTCCCAGGTTCAATTTGAATGTGAAAGCTACTTACTAATTCAATTCAACAAATATTCTAATATTTTTTAATATGAAATATTAAGTAGCTCTTAACACATTACAGTTGTTAAACATGGATAATATTAGCTTTGGGGGGGGTGGGATTTCTTAATCCTTTTACAGCAGTTTTCACATTTTATCTGCATTTCCTAGACCAGTATTTACAGGGGAGCATTCAAGAAACAGTATCTTATTTTCTTCTCCATTTTAGTTTCACTTTTAAGTCATTGGCACCATTTTAGCTTGGATGTGAAAAACCTTAAAACAGGAAAATATAGTTTAGACCTTTTGCACATGTACCAATTGTCAATATAATGAAATAGTCTGTAGTTACAAACACTAGTCTTTTAATGTATATTTATGTATGTTATATGCTGAGTATGGATGTACTGAAGGTCAAGCTATGTTCAGCTACAACTTTCTTTCCCTCCCCACCCCCCACATTTCCTAATCTTCTTTTTCTTCTAGAATGCAGTTAAGAATTCTGGGAAGGAAAAATTATTATAGGCAAATTTATATATATATTTTTGTAATGTATAAAGAAATTAATTTCTCATTAGCTAAGTACTGGACCATAATCATTATTGAAGTGGGGGGGGGGGTGAGGGGAAACAGTTAAAGAAAGCTAGTGCTTTGTCCAACATCAAAGAGTGAAACTAGGCAGAAGGAAAATGGGATGCAGGAGTACCTGCTAACACAAATATCAACCAATAGGGTGATTTTATAAAAATCAAGGGAAAGTGAGGCTTTCTGAGGAATGCCTGATTGCATTAAAAAGTGGGAAATTGTAAAACTATCAAGCCTTCAACTAATCATTTATGTTGTTTCTCTCTAAAGAAAGAATATTCATGAAAGGAACTTGGCCACCTTGGTGTCTTAACAAGAGACCTGCATGGCTCTGTGGTTGAGCGTCGACCTATGAACCAGGAGGTCATGGTTTGATTCCTGTTATGGCACATGCCTGGGTTGCAGTGGAGGGTGCGCAGGGAGCAACCAATCAATGGTTTTCTCTAATCATTGATGTTTCTATCTCTCCCTCTCTTTCTGAAATAAATAAAAATATATTTTAAAAAATAACTCATCTGTTTACAAAGGATTTACTTCACAATGTTGTTAAAAAACGTGTGTAGGGTTCTTTTGTGTTTTTTTTTTAGTACATTTCAAATGATTTGAATTTTTCAGAAATACAATAGATCTTCGAGGTAACTAATGTTATCTTTTTCCCCCGTTTGTCTGATCTAGATGAGAATATCCTAATGCTACACCTACAGCTCTTAAGTTTGTTTGCCTCCATTATAATACCAACACGTCAGGTTGTGGAAGAAGTGACCCAATCAGAACAGAAGCTTCATCACTGCAGCCAAATATCTCTCACCTCTAGAGTGAGAAAGCGAATATGTCACGTATTCTAAGCAAAAGAGACAATTATAAGAACGATGCCATTACATCATTTCCTTTATGGAAAGAAGAAAATGACAAGGACGACACGTATGAAGACGCCTTTGAAATTATCCCTGCGGCAACAACAATGGATCTAGTATCTTCCCTGGAAGAATGCACCACTGGGTTGTATTTGTTTCTCAATAACAGATTCTCAGATGCCATAAATCTCATTTACCCGTGGTCAAAAAACAGCATCTACCATGCTCTAGTCAACAGCATCCTCATGGTGGTGAAAGCCATCTTGACTTTTGACCCGCAGGATATAGACATTGGAATGACTGCAGCCAAAGAAGCGTTGAAAACTTGTAACAGCTTCCGAAGGAAAGGCAGGATGACTAGTTTCTCTCGTCTAGTGAGTAAGCAGGGCATAAAGGCTATCAAAGAAGAGGAGCTGCACGCTGAAGTCTGCTATGCAGAGTGCCTGATCTTGAAATCTGCTGTGACCTTTATCCAGGATGACAGCATGCTTGGCTTTCTTAAAAGTGGGATCAACATCGGGTTAAGTTACCAAATCTACAAAGACTGTCAACAAATATTAACACAGATACCCACCAACCAAAGCAAAACCTCTAGACACCTGGTTGGAGGCGTAAAATTCGGACTCGGAGCATTCAATTTGATATTGTCCCTCATGCCACCAAAGACACTGAAGTTACTCAACGTTGTTGGATATCATGGTGATAAACAGGTAGCCTTGACTCTGCTTCATGAGAGTGCCTCTGAATCCCATATCAATAATGTCTTAAGTATTCTGACTCTGCTGTTCTATTACAGCTATGCCTGCGTAGCTTTCGATATTGAAACAATTCACTGTTATCCCATAGACCATCTCTTCCTAACTTATCTCCAGAAATTTCCAAAGTGTGTCATATTCAAATTTTTTCATGCACGCATAAGCATGCTGAAAGGGAAATTTGAGAATGCGCAGTTAGCATTGCAGGAGTGCATTTTTATTCAGAACGAATGGAAGCAACTTGACCACATCTGTTACTGGGAACTCATGTGGTGCCACATTTTTGTGCAGGATTGGAAGGAGGCCTACCGCTATGCTGATGTGCTGCTTCAAGACAGCAAGTGGTCCAAGGCAGTGTATTCATACAGCAAAGCCATGCTGCTGGCTCTGCTTCCTCCTGGGTTTGCTAAGACAGAAAGCAAGGACATGAACTCTCTCTTCTTAAGTGTGGAGAGCCAGAGAATCAAACTTTTAGGCACGTCTGTGCCCATAGAGAAGTTCATTGCTGAGAAGGGTCAGCGCTATGGCAGTACTAAAGGCTGGTTTCTGGCACAGCCCGTCCTGGAATTCATGTATGCCTGGAGTGGTTTCCAAGTCATGAGCAAAAGACTACACCTGATTTCATGCTGGCTTGCAATAATTAACCGAGGAGAAGAACTTTTACGAGAAAGACCAAATAAAGAGTATGGCACGGATGACCTATGTTTGCTAAGTTTACTGAAGGGTCTCTGCCTGAAACACTTGGGCAAATACGTGGTGGCTGAGCAGTACTTCAGTCGTGTCATCCAAAAGGAGAAATTGCTAAAATATGACCACTATTTGGTGCCGTACACTTACTACGAGCTGGGGGTTCTGCACTATCTGAAAGGAGATTATAGCAGTGCCGTGAAAAACCTGGACAACATAAAGAACTACAAAGACTATTCCATGGAAGCCCGCTTACAGTTTAAGACTCATATAGCTCTTCAACAAATAGCTAAAGCAAAGTGATTTAGAATACAAAGTGTAGTTTTGTTTACTGTGAGTGAAGTATCTACAGTCAGCAAGATAATTAACAGGCAGGAAAATAATTCCTTTGTGGGAGAAATCCAAGAAGAGACAGCTACTAAGAATCTGATGTAACAAGAAATTCCCTTTCCCTCTTTCCTCCTCTCCATACCTATAAAATGGAATACCTTACACTGGCAAATGGAGTGATGTACATTACTGAGAAAGAAAAGGCAAATGATGTGCATTATAAAAGGCTAAGGGCCCAGTGCACCTTGAAGGGAACTGTGGGCCGTGAGGCTGTGGTGGGCACAGGGGCGGGTCTTGGCCCATCTTCTGTGCCCCCACCCGGCCCCTTCTGCTGCAAACCTCAGTCCCCTGTCTGCTGGCAGCCCCCTCCCCCCACCACCACCACTGCTCCCATGAGCGGTCAGCACCAGCCCCACTTGCACCCGCTGAGGGCACGATTGGAGCCGGTGCCACCAGCGGGTCCAAGCAGCAGCAGCTGCCCCGATCACCCCTGAGGAGCAGGGTACAAAATAATATCAGAGGGTGACAAGGCAACAATGAGAATAAGGAATCACTTGGAAAAGACTGCAGATCTAACAGGAAATCTATTCATTGACATTTCTTTGGTGAAATTGCTAGCCACAGTCTAGGTTCTGGCCTTGAACTGGCCCAGGTTTAATATCTGCAGTGTTAAATTTCTTTATAATTTTAGGAACTCAGTAGTGGATACCCCCCCCCCCTTTTTTTTTTAATTCTCACTGAGGACATTTTCTCATTGATTTTTAGAGAAAGTGGAGGAGAGGGGAAGAAAAAGAGAAAACATCGAAGTGAGAGAAACACATCAACTGGTTGCCTCCTGCATGGAGTCCCCCTGACCAGGGCGCGGGCCAGGGAGGAGCCTGCGCCATAGGCCGGTGTCCTCGATTGGGAATGGAACCTGGGGCCCTTTGGTCCACAGGCTAACACACTATCCGCTGAGCCAAACGGCTAGGGCTAGATATCCTTTTATTATCCCAAGACAATTACAGGGAAAAATAAAAACAGTTAATCCCACTTTTTTCCCCCTCCAAATCAAAATAAAATTATGTAAAATCTATATTATTGCTACTGAGATTGTTTACCTCATTGAATAAGAGGAAATAAATGAAAAAAGATGGCACCGGCACAAACCGGTGTGGCTCAGTGGATAGAGTGTCGGCCTGCGGACTGAAAGGTCCCAGGTTCGATTCCGGTCAAGGGCATGTGCATTGGTTGCGGGCACATCCCCAGTAGGGGGTGTGTAGGAGGCAGCTGGTCGATGTTTCTCTCTCATCGATGTTTCTAGCTCTCTATCCCTCTTCCTTCCTCTCTGTGGAAAATCAATAGAATATATTAAAAAAGAAAAAAGATGGCACTGGCTTTTAGCCATAACGATATTCTCTGGGCGTATTTGCAGGCAATGTATGAAGTAGCCGTGTCCTAAACTTCCATAGGGTACATTTGTTTAGTATTTTAGAATTCACAAAGCCTGTTCAAAGCACAGTCATCCTAGGAAAGTCCTATCTTCATTCTACCGACAGGGGAAAATAACCTTCCCTCTCTGGGGTTATAAAATCTCCCCTCCGGGCAAGGTTGGGGAGGCCTGATAATGAATTTATCTGGAGATACTGCCTCCCGTAAACTGGAGTTCCAACTGAAAAGTGGTTCTGGAATCCCTCCCCCCACACACACACCTAATAATACCACTGCTTTGTTGAGTAAAAAGGCTACATTTTACATAGTTTCATGCTGTATATGCTCCATACTTCCCTATTTTCACCCACATCCAATTTCTCAGTGTCATTCTAACATACCAATTTCATTGTGTCATTGAATCACTCAGATTTTTCACATTCTCTTTTGGTTTATTCACTCATAAAATGAGTTCATGTTTTAAGGTTATTAAAATAATGCCTGGCATATATTAGGTGCCATATAACTGATTAAGAAATAAGAATTTAATTCAAACTGGGCACCTCCTGCTAATACTGGGCAATGCTCTAGAATCTAGAGTCTAGATGTAGGATATATGGTAGTAAACAAAACAAACATGGCCCTTGCCATTAGAGGGTTTGCAGGGCTTTTGAAGGACCATGTGTGTCTTATTCATGAAAATTTAGAGCTGAGAGGATATTGGGCCACCTAATCCCACATTTTGCTTATAGGTAAGAAATCTAAGAAGGCAAATGACTTCCAAAGCCCTAAAGCTGGTATGAGTAGATAGTGGTGCACAGGAACCCAATTAAACTGCCTCAGAAGAACCCATTGTAGCCCTAGCCGGTGGCTCAGTGGTTAGACCTCTGACTTACCTACCAAAGGGTTGAGGTTCAATTTTCGGTCAAGGACACATACCTGGGTTGCAGGTTTGATCCCCTGCCTCATGTAGAGGCAACCATTTGATGTGTCTCTCACATTGAAGTTTCTCTCTCTCCCTTTCCTTCTCCCTTCCACTCTCTCTAAAAATCAATGGGAAAAATATCCTTGGGTAAAGATTAACAACAACAACAAACAGACATTTCTAATAGGTTCTACTTGTTGAATAAATAAAAAGCTAAATCATCAATAAGTCTTGGGCCAAAATGACTGGAGTTACTTTTTTCTGCCCGTACCTTGCATGAAAAATATGGTAAATTGCCAACCCATTCCCACTTCATTTTTTACCTACTTTTAAGACCACCCAACACTGGATTGAAATTTTTGATAGTTCAGGCCTGGCAGGTCAGGTTTATCTTTGCACCATGATAAAGAACAGTGAACAATAAAGACCATTGACAATTTTTAAACTTATCAAGGCATTTAGGAAACTTTTCTTTAAGAAATATTTCTTAAAAAAAATATATTCTATTGATTTTTTTTTTTTTTTTTTACAGAGAGGTAAGAAAAGGGATAGAGAGCTAGAAACATCGATGAGAGAGAAACATCGACCAGCTGCCTCCTGCATACCTCCAACTGGGGATGTGCCCACAAGCAATGCACATGCCCTTGACCGGAATCGAACCCGGGACCCTTCAGTCCGCAGACCGACGCTCTATCCACTGAGCCAAACTGGTTTCAGCAGAAATATTTCTTTTTTTAAAATATATTTTTATTGATTTCAGGGAGGAAGTAAAAGAAGGGGAGAGAAACATCATTAATGAGAGAGAATCATTTATCAGCTGCCTTCTGCATAAACCACACTGGGGACTGAGCCTGCAACGTGGGCATATGCCCTGACTGGGAATCAAACCAGTGATATCTCGGTTCCTGGGTCGAGGCTCAACCACTGAGTCACACCCGACTGGGCAAGAAATATCTCTTGCCAAAATGAAAATAAATATACTCCAAAATCTAAAATAAGCCATTTTGGTATTGGCAGAAGAAGGGATTAAGTGTTTGTGTGAAGGTTTGAGGGGGAGACAGACCTTAGGAAGGAGATGGAGGGAGAGGGACTGGGAAGAGAGGGAGAAAAGGAGAGAATGAGAGAAAATGGGCAAATGGTATGAGGGACACATCAGGTGGACCACGGGGGAAGGGTGTGCTGGGAAAGGACATGTACCATCTCATCTCAGTCACTACAGACTAACAGTTCTCCCTACTGAGAACTTGTGTTAGGGAGAATTTGCATCAGTGATTTGCATCAAGGATGCTGAGAATGAGCCTTTAGTTAGGAGACTAATGGAATAATGGAGAGAAGGAAAAGAAATTGCTGTCTCATCACTTTAAAAGGGGTAACTTAAGTCAAGCTGGTTAATTTTCAATGTTTTCTACACTGTGTGTATTTAAAAAAATATATTCTTATTGATTTCAGAGAGAAAAGGAGAGGGAGAAAGAGATAGAAACATCAATGATGAGAAAGAATAATTGATTAGCTGCCTCCTGCACGCCCCCTTACTGGGGATCCAGTCCACATTCTGGGCTTGTGCCCTGATGGGAGTCAAACCGTGATCTCCTGGTTCATAAGTCTAGCTCAACGACTGAGCCACGTGGCTGGGCTACGCAGTGGTTTAATAGTCCTCTAATCCAGCTTTTCTAAGTCTCCTTGAGTGTTCACCTTGTATCATTTTCAGGAGCCAACCGGGAGCCAACTAGGTAGGCGACCAGAAACCTGTGGTTGGAACTAGTCTTTTTGCACTTTTCCACTTGTGGGTGGAGGCGTTTATAGCGAGTTTTTGGTCAGGTGGAATTCAATCAGACCCCGTGCTTTTCTTACCAGCTTCTGCACTTCCTGCAGGACTGGACCCAATAGCAAGACACATCCCAAAGGAGCAGGCACCTTAAAATTGCCTTACACAGAGCAAACAAGAAATGCCTGGGCTCTGTCGCTTTTGTCCAAGGCACTTTCACCTCACGCTTCCAGAGCTTTAGGATTTACCTGGAGGGTTCATGTGCTTTGAATCCATGGCAACAGTGGCATTCCATTTCTACTATCAACGGGGATCTGGCACGAGCGTTTTCCTCTTTCGAGTTTTCTTTTAGAAATGTCCATCGTGGCAGTGGAGAGGGGTGGCCCTAGCGAACAAGAAGGCTTATTATTGTTGCACAAAAAAATCTCAGTCCCTGCCCACACCCTGCATCCAGCCTTCAGCACTCCCTCCCGGCCGCGGCTCTCAGACCTCTGGGTTTGATTACAGCCGAGGACTACAAAACAGAGAATTCTGGGGGCAGGAAGTGACGACATGGAGCAAAGCATGCTGGACCCCGGCGGGCTCGGCTCGGGGAGAAACTTCTTCCTCTTAACGTGGTTGCCGAGTACTGGGCGCTGCCAGCGATTTTAAGCGGTTTTTTGTTTTTGTTTTTGTTTTTTTTCTTCTCGTTTTCGAGGATCAAACTTTGAGGACCACCTGGTTTGAGGACGGCTTTAAGTGCCACGCGGCTGCAGGAGAGGCCAAGAAGTCAGCTCGTTTATGCGGCCTCCAAACAAACTTTAAGAGGACGTTGGGACCCATCGGCCGGGGAGATCCTGCAGACAGCCCAGGAGCGAGTGGGTGCAGAGCTGAGTTTCCCTTTCCAGTTCTTGGCTCAAAGTGGTGTGGAGTGGACTCCTCTGGGGGAAGGAGAGCAGAGTGGAAGGGTTTGAGCATCCACAGACCGGCCTTCAGAGCCCGCGCGGCGGCCATCTGGACCGGGATGGGGGTGGACACTGGGCCCCGCTTTCAGGCCGAATGGTAAATTCTGTGTTATAACTGTTTTTCTGATATGGAACTGGAGGCAAATGACAGGTTTTCTTTACCTCTAGGCGGTGGAGATTAGGGATTTGCTGGGGTGGAACGGATATTAACCCGAATTGGTGGTGCTTTTAGATCTCGCCAGATGGCAGCCGTGAATGAATGGACGAAGAGAGGCCCCTTAGAGTGGCACGATTACACTTACAAAGAAGTCAGAGTGACAGCAAGTGAGAAGGACTATAGAGGATGGGTTTTAACCACAGACCCCGTCTCTGCCAAGTGAGTATGGGTCCTGCTTCCCTGAAATCATGACGCCCCTTTGTGCTGCTTCTCATATACAGACTCAGAAAGCGGATAATGAAAGGCTTATTATTCCCATATAATAATTTTATTGTCGCCCTGACTGGTTTGGCTCAGTGGATAGGGCATCGGCTGCGGACTGAAGGGTCGCAGGTTCGATTCCGGTCAACCTTGGTTTCGGGCACATTCCCAGTAGGGGTAGGGCGTGTGCAGGAGGCAGCTGATTGGTGGTATTTTTTGTTTGTTTTTTTGATGATTGGTGTTTCTAACTCTATTCCTCTCCTTTCCTCTCTGTAAAAAAATCAATAAAATATATTTTTAAAAATACCTGCTTAAAACTTTTTTTTATTGTCTTTGAATATAAATGCAGCTCTACCTATGGATTACCTTGTCAGACCAACCAATTTCCTAGCAATGAGACATTTAAATATATATATATATATATATATATATATATATATATATATATATATTATTGATTTCAGAGAAGAAGGGAGAGGTATAGAGAGACAGAAATGATGAGAGAATCATCGATCATTGCCTCCTGCACGCCCCACACGGGATCGAGCCTGCAACCCATGTGCCCTGTCAGGATCGAACAGTGACCTCCTGGTTCATAGGTGGATGCTCAACCACAGAGCCACGCCAACGGGGTGAGACATTTCCTACTACATTTTATTGTAACTCCAAGTAATGCTTTCACTGCCTTTCACAATGAGTGCTTTAGGCTGGACAAAAGTTTAGATGCTTAGGACCCTCAGAGAATGCTTACTGAGCAAGTGGAAACATCTGGTGGTGAGAAGAGCATTCCCTATTATTCTAATGACTTGCTGGGGTTGATGCCTCCTATTCCATTGCTTCTTCCACAGTTTTAAGGGCCTTTAGGTTTTTCTTTTGCAAATCTTCTCTGAACTTACTTTTTCTCCGAAGTATTGTCCTCGTGAACTTCCTTGAAGATGGCAGCATGTCTGTGACCGGGATTATGGGACACGCCGTGCAGACTGTTGAGACTGTGAGCGAAGGGGACCAAGGAGTAAGAGAGAAGCTGATGCATTTGTTTGCCTCTGGAGACTGTCAGGCATTCAGCCTGGAGGATCTGGAAAACAGAAGGAACAGCCTGAGGAAATGGCTTGAGAAGAACCACATCCCGGTCACTGAACAGGGAGATTCGCCAGGGACCCTCTGTGTGGCTGGGGTCCTGACTATAGACCCACCTTATGGTCCAGAAAACTGTAGCAGCTCGAATGAGATTATTCTGTCCCGTGTTCAGGATCTTGTTCAAGGACATCTTGCAGCTTCCCAATGAGAAGCCAAGAACTATGGGTGCACTGAAATAAGACTAATATTTTTTCTTCATAAAATGTCTTGAATGTTAAGGCCGTCATACTACAGGACTTTAAAGGCACACATTGTGTGTGTGTGTGTGTGTGTGTGTGTGTGTGTGTGTGTGTTTTAATTTTTTAAAATTAAAGACGTGGATTATGAATGCTAATAAGTGTACTGTTGCAAGGATAACATCACATGCAACAAAATTAGCACAGGGACATTAGGCTTGTAAGTCCTTCTGATGGAGCTTATACCTGCAAGAGGTGTATTTGGAAAAATGCAACATGTTGAACATAAAATGCATTAAGTCCTTTGCACTAACTATGTGTGTCGGTCTAAAATTTTTTTTTTGGTGTGTGTGTGTGTGTAATAATGAAACTGCTTGAAACTTCGAAGTTTTGACTAATGGTAAATATCTTAACACACAAACCATATAACCCTCAAAGCCTTTAAAGTGAGAGCAAGTTAATATCTCTGAGGGAAAAGGTAAATGTGACAGGTCGCCTGCAGCTGAATTCAACTCAGTTCCTTCACCCGCAGTTCCTCAGGGTAGGCTTCCTGAGGGGGCGGAGGCAGTGTGCTTCACGGGAGCCAGGCAGCGCCAGGACTGGCTGGGAAAGGCAGCTCGGGTTATTAGTTTGGGGTCTTTCCATGGGCCTGTCTAGAATGACTGCAGGGTCAGATTAGAACTCCAAGACCCTGACTCCCTAGGACAGGGGGTGAACAAAATGTGGGCCCCTGGGACAAATCCAGCTTCCTACCTTCATTTGCTAAAACATTTAAAAATATATATATTTATTGATTTCAGATAGGGAGAAGAAGAGATAGAAACATCAATGATGAGAGTGACTCATTGGCTGCCTCCTGCAGGCCCCATACTGGGGATCCAGCCTGCAACCCAGGCATGTGTCCTGACCAGGAATCAATGATCTGGTTCATAGGTCGACACTTAAACCACTGAACCACACCAGCCAGGCAGTACCTTTTTAATTTCTACATATTCATTTAGTCTTTTCCCTCCCATTTCAATAAATCTTTATTGTTCATATTATTACAATTGTTCCTCTTCCCCCTCCCTCCCCCATAGCTCCCTTCTACCTGGTTCCCACCCCACCCTCTGCCCTTAACCCCCATTGTGCTCATCCATAGGCGGACAATTTTTGTCTAGTCTCTTCCTGCACCCCCTCTCCCTCTCACTTGAAAAAGACAGCCGCACATTCAGTTGCCAGCCCTCTCCGCGCATCCGCTCCTCCCTACCTCTACCTTCCAGTCTCTGTGCTTTTTTCTTCCCTTCTCGTTGTAGAATTTCCACTCAGCCAGGCTTCCTGTGGTTCTGGATGATGTCTGTTTTGTCTTTTAGTTGGAATTTTGAAGTTGTGCGAGGCAGCAGTTCAGGTGTTTACCTATGCCACATCTTGGTTTTCTCTCCAGTCTTTTTATTTTTTTTTATTTTTATTATTTTTTTTCTTAAAATATATTTTATTGATTTTGCACAGGGAAAGGAGAGAGACAGAGAGTTAGAAACATCGATGAGAGAGAGTCATCGATCAGCCGCCTCTTGCACACCCCCCACAGGGGATATGCCCGCAACCAAGGCACATGCCCCTGACCGGAATCGAACCTGGGACCTTTCAGTCCCCAAGCCGACGCTCTATCCATTGAGCCAAACCGGTTTCGGCTCTCCAGTCTTTTTTAAAAAAAATCTTTATTGTTGAAAGTATCACATATGTCTCCCCCCCCCCCCAAAAAAAAAAAAAAATCAGGCCTTCCTCACCCTACTGTCTGAATCCATGGACAATTTGTATACATATATGCATACAAAATCTTCGGTTGATCTCTTCCCATCCAGCCACCCTTCCCTGCCTTCCCTCTGAGATTCTAGAGTTCCATGCTTCTAAGTCTCTGGATTTATTTTGTTCATCAGTTTGTTTTGTTCATTAGGTTCCACACATCAGTCTTTTTAGAACCTTCAGAGGCTCTGGCAGGGGGTTATTATGTTCCTGATTGGATTTACTCAAGCACACTTTATTGTTACCCTGTCTTTCCTGTGTCCCTGCTTATCTTTGTATCCTGAGTTCCCAGGGTGACGGGCACATGGCACCTGTTTAAGGTGGTTATAGTGAAACTATTAGTATAAATGTGGGAAGAATTTCTGTGGACCCAATATGGTTTCAAAACTAGACAGGCAATAGCACACATTAGTTATAAACGGAACAACTGGCCTCTTGTTGACTAATCAGATTACATGCTTCAATTAGTCCAGTCTTAGCCAGGCTTACTGTACAAAAGGACAGAATAAAGGTTTATGGGCTAGAAATGGGGACAGCTGGAGTTTACATGGGGCAGTACACCGGTGAGTTTCAGAGACAGAAGGGTAGCATGAACAGAAACATAAAACTGGATTGTTTTGTGCTGGGCCTATAATCTGGATTTGTTTCCTCCTCATGCAGCTAGTCCCTTGCTGCCCATTGGACAGCATGGCCCCTGATTTGCAAAGACATCTGTCTCCTAAAGAACGTAACACAACTTTTGACATTTGATCTGGTAATCTTACTTATAATGATTTCCCCAGTTCAAACTATAGAAGGGTTACTATTATAAGGCTTGATGTTAAATGTAAACTTTTTATAGTCATTCACCTAGAGAACTATATACTCCTTTTTAGTCCTATTTGTGTTTTAGTATATTGGCCAAAGTCTACTAGGTTGGACTCTTTTAAGATAACACAAAGATAAGGTAAGGGTGTGTGTGTGTGTGTATATTTTAAACATTTTAATGTGGGCCTAAGTGTGAGAACCCAAGTTTCAAGTGGAAAGTGTTAGCAGTTTTAGTGTCACGTATGTCATATCTTCAACAGGCACAATTTAACTTATTTTCACATTTTCAAAATAAGTGTTTTAAAAATCAAAATTTAATGGTGGACCTTGTTTTTGTTTTTAGCGGTAGGATATTTTAAAAGATATCTCTACCCATATGTGCATGGCTTTTCTTATTTGTACATAGAATTTTCTCAAATTCTTTTTTGTTGTTATTCTTCACCTGAGGATATTTTCCATTTTGAGAGAGAGGAGGAAAGAGAGGGAAAACTCATCAATGTGGAGAAATACATTGATTGATTGCTTCCCGCATCCCCCCCCACTGGTGCCAGAACTGAACCTGCAACCCAGGTAGGTGCCCTTGACAGAGAGGTGCGCTCTAACCAGAGATGAGCTCCAGGAGGAAGACAGAGCTAATGCTTTGTCAACCTTTTTTTTTTTTTTTTTTTTTTTAATATATTTTATTGATTTTGTACAGAGAGGAAAGGAGAGAGAGAGCTAGAAACATCGATGAGAGAGAGTCATCGATCAGCTGCCTCTTGCACACCCCCTACTGGGGATATGCCCGCAACCAAGGTACATGCCCTTGACCGGAATCGAACCCGGGACCCTTCAGTCCCCAAGCCGACGCTCTATCCATTGAGCCAAACCGGTCCTGGCCGCTTTGTCAACCTTTGACCACCTCTGTAAGAATGTTTAGCTCTTCTAATTTTCTAAGAACTTCTCGGCTAGACATAGTACAAAACAGTAGTGCAGACTAATTTTGTAGCAAGTATTTTATTAATACAATTCCCTAACTAGAATCCAGTAAGAGTAAAACAAATATTTAAGAAAACATCCACAGAGTTCTTAATAACATGAACACTACGTGCTGATCACTTTGTTGGGGCTTCGAAATCCAGGCCATGTGAAATACTCTCCTGCATTTTGACCTTCAATCACAAAGGAGTAATCTTATCTCATAGTTCATAATTTTAAGAGTTTTGGGCTGAGGATTTCCTTATTCAAGGTGTCTCAAACCTTTTCACATCCGGGTCATCTATGAAGGATAGGGTTTGTGCATTTGTATGTGGCTGCAAGTAGCCAGCCCAAGAACAGCTTCCCGAGGGGAGCCACTCCTCAGCACTTGGAATGGGGAGTTTTGCTGTCAGCTCTCCCAGCTGTGTGCTCTGCTGCAAACGTGTCACCAGTCCCCACCACTCTAGCGAGGGCAGCGTGACTCCACGATAGCACCAAAAATCAAAACGGCTTTTAAAAACTTTTTTAGAGGCTCAGTGCAGTTTTTGCCTTCATTTTTCCTAAGTGTTCAAGCCTAATCATCTTTGTCATCTGAGCCTGGTTTCAATAGCGAGTCAGGGCTTGGATATTGTCTGCACTATGCTTACGTGCACTGATGCTTAAATATGCCTCATAATGATCAACTTAGACAGTCTAAGAGGCTTATTTAACTAAAATAAAATCTGAAAAAGGGAACACCATTCAGGTGGTTTCTGTTTTTTAAAAATATACTTTGATTTTTTACAGAGAGGAAGAGTGAGGGACGGAGAGTTAGAAACATCAATCAGCTGCCTCTTGCACACCCCCTGCTGGGGATGTGTCCGCAACCAAGGTACATGCCCTTGACGGGAATTGAAGCTGGGACCTTTCAGTTCGCAGGCCGACGTTCTATCCACTGAGCCAAACCGGTTTCGGCTGGGTGGATTTTCTTGATTTTTTGAATATTAGCTATGGTATGAAACCTGAAGGCTAGACAAACATGGGAATATTTTCCCACCCAGTTTTTTTGGGTTCTTCTGGGCCATGCTGATAAATGCCCAGGAAAAATATATAAAATGCCAGTGCCCCATTAACCTAAGAGGTGGCTGAAATAAGCAGTCTCATGGAAGGTATTTTTATGGTTGTAAATCTGATACTGGCATGGCAACCCTTTCTCTCTCAACCACGTCGACGTTGCTCTGAGAATACCATTAAAATTCCTTTTGGGTAATGTGAAATGTGGCTGAGATCCGGGTAGAGTTCAGAAGAGAGTCATTTCTAAACGGAAAACCTACAGGAGAGTAAAGACACCCAGACTGTTCTGCTTTTAAGAATTAGAGTGTTATGGATAAGACCAGCTTGCATTTTAATAACAATTAAGTTTGTTTTTTTAAGGCTTACCTTGAATGAGTAAAAATAAAAAATCCCTCACAAATCAAGTTTAGTCTGTAGCCAATAGCCTAAAGTGAAATTTTAATCTTTCTTGCTCACATGATTTTTTTTTCTTCTCTGTTCTAACGGTCTCTCAGTTGAGCCTGTATGATAGAAATAACAATCAGTATCTCTCCTCATGCCCCTATCTCACCCCAGTAAAAAGCAGAAGAAGAATATGCAGATTAAGACGGAATACACATTCACTTGTGTGCTATCGGGCGCATTTCATTCATTCTAGGACCGTTGCAGGGAAAAAGACAGGCAGGTGGTCTATAGACTGTCTTACCACGACACTCCAATTGTGCTGGGAG